ACAATTTTTACGAAACTTAAGTATATATATCCGTTTTGATGGAAGAAAACAAAGAATTAGCGTGGCTTGGTGGTTTGTAGAACGAATTGTGTCCCTCATAACGCGAGTTCGAGTCCCTAGATGCTTATTTTGCATTATTTTATAGTATTTACTTTAATGAAAAGTAAAATTAGGAGATTACCCTCGTCTTTCTCATTAACAAAATCGATTTCTGCAACTCTAGCCACCATTTTTTTGTCATTTTTTTTCACGGGTTTCTTCAGTTTTTCTTGTTGTTTTTAACAAAGATTGATAGATCCATAAAACTACTATCAATTATAACATTCAAATGATGAAAAAATTGAGTTTTTTTTCTAAATTTCCGATTAATTGTCCGAATTGGACGTAATCTCGTCGGCATCATGCCGCTGTGCGCCTGGCTGCCGTAGAATCGGCCGCCACGGCCGCGTTTTCAAACATGGGTAAGTATTATTATGTTGTTTCTTAGCTATATCAAAGTTGTCAATCTACGATATTGCTACCGTTTTAAACCTAACATTGTGATTTGTGACTGTGTTCTATTGTTTTAGGTTAGGAAGACGAAACCTTTTAACAAAAGAGATTAAAAGCAAAAACTAAAAGGAGATTAAAAACCTCAAGGGCTTGGGTTCATTGATTCGTTCCTTATCGTTTTAATACTATTCTCCTTTTTTTGTATCTTGTGTTAACGTGTTATTTGTTTCAGGATCTCCCAATACGTTCTTCTTGTCTTTTACATTGATTACTTCATGGGTTCTTATTTCTGAATCTAAGGCGTCTATTATAGACAAATATTGGATGGATATCTGAAATTTTTGTGTCTAAAGTGTTAGACCATGTTATTAGTTGATATCTTCCTCATTGTTTTTCAATGGTACATTTATACTATTTTTTATCCAAATATGCAATGACCCTTCATTTTTTTTGTTTTCTGTTGCTCTCATTCTTATATGCTATTTTTCTCTTGACCAATATATGTAATGATCATACTCTTGAGTGACAAGAAGAGCTATTTTAGATTCTCATATGTTGTCATGAAGAAGACGAAAAAGATTCTTGATTCTCAAATATTTTTCTCTTGAATTGTCATAAGAATGNTCTCATTATAATGTTTTTATTTTCTAAATGGATTTATAATTTTTTTTTGTTAATTTTGGTGTTTGAATGA